GTTAAGCTCGTAGTTGTTGAAGGAGACGCCGTGGTCGGCGCCTCTTTCCCGGAACGTGTCTGGTTTGCCTGGGGGGGGGGGGGGGGGAGGGCGCCCCTCCCGACCTCAACCAACCAGAGCCCACTCCTCGCCCTCCAGCGTCCCTCCAACCGGGAAGGCCGGCGACACGGGGGTCGCCGGCGCAGCAGTTACCGCCGGTGCGGCGGACGCCGCGGACGCAGAAGAAGCATTCGCACCCGCTGCCGGTCTGCAAGTCAACCCAAATGGCTGGAGAAGTGCAATAAACTGCGCCAGGTTCATACGGTCTGAGTTGATCTCATGATGAACCGCGTTTGAGTGGGAACGAGTCACTGCACTTGCGTAAGACACTCTGGGATGTGAGCTTTTGTATATCTCCCGTCGTCTCGAAAAGAGATGCGCAGGGAGCACTTGATGGAGATGATCTATTTCTCTCGAGAGTACGCCGGACAAGCACGGTCAAATGTCGTGTGCGGGATCTGGTTTCTGTCGCAATTCACACATTTCGGTCGCACAAAGCTGCAGTTCTCGCTAATGTGGTCAGTCACAGCACATTTCCCACAAGACGGTTTCCTACAGTAGTCTTATGTATGGCCGAAGCGAAGGTATCGAAAACAGCGAATAGGGTTGGGAATGTACGAGCGAACTTTCACTTTCATGTAACCGACGACTTTTTCTGAAGGAAGGCCCACACGGTTGAAAGTAAGGATAATATCATTTGTTGGTACCAGGTGCTCTCCTCTCCTGACCCTGATCCGACGAGCTTCCACGACACCGAAGCCACACAGGCCTCTCCTCATATATATATATATCCTCATCGCTGACACCCTCCATGCCAAAGCATTTCATAATCCCGCGAGAACAGTTTTTCGTTTTGTGAGCAGTCACCGTGATGGGTAAAGTAACGTCTCGCCTTCCATCTTTATCTCTGAACGTGTATGTGAATGACGTTGCTTTCAATGCCTCTTCCGCTTCCGCTCTATTCAAAAATTCCACCTCGATCGCTCCATTTCTGAGTTTGTCACAGCGCGTCACTTTGCCAAGCCGATCACATCCGTTACGCCGCTGAAAGGACGACAGATTAGGCAAATCTTTTTCGCTGCTGGAAAGCACGATAATCCGAAGGTAAGACTGAGCAGCCTGCCCGGCAGTCCCCGGTACTCCCACTCTCCCATCTCTAGTCCGCTCCAACGGGGTGGAGCGGGAATCAGTCCGTGGCAGTAGCATTTCAGCGACGCCAGAGGGACCGCTTCGTCCCTGCGCTGAAGCAGAGGGAAGGTCGTCCACCGTCGTTAGCTGTGCCGTCTGGGCCAAAGTGTCATTTCCGGTGGGGTTGGATGAATGAGAACCCATGCGAGTTTTTGGAAGCATTCGGCAACAGGGCTCCCCACCCACTACGGAGCCCAACTGGGGGGCGGTCCAACACTCCCTTGAGAGGTGGTCGCCGCCAGGGCTACCCCGGTGCTATACGGGGCGAACGACGCTTCCCACACGGCCAGGTGTAACCAGGGAGACCCCTCCCCGTCCTGACCGTGGTTCAGCGCCACCGCCCCTTGATCCCTTAAGCCGCTGCGCACGGCCTGCAGGCGCTCCAAGCGGAGACCCGCATGAAGCACCCAGCCGCAGCGCGTGCGACAAGCCGCTAGACCCTAATGGGCCCCACCGGCCCCCCGCGCCCCCGGATATCCTGGCCGAAGTGGAGTGTTGGGACGCGCCGCGACTGACCTGCAAAACGCGCCTCTCAGCCACCAGGATTCGATCAACCCGGGAACGCGGGCGAAGGGGCACGGTGACTCCGATAAAACGAAGATTAGGAGTGATGAGTCGGCCGGATGCGGGAAAGCGGGTAATGGGAATGGAGCAGGCACATTTTTTTTCATTTTTTAAGTCACATTTTTAGACTATCGAAGACGCTAGTCTACAAATTCATCTTCAGATTACAATACTCTAAGTGGTGCTGTGTTAATGAAATATCATTGGCGCTAAAAAAATGATAGTCATTTATTGAAGTTGACATCTGAGATCGCTAGGTCGCTTTCAACCTCCAGCCTAGTGTGTTTTTGCATAAATCATAAATCTCATCCTGTTATCATTCGGCATGGACCAGTGACCAAACTATAGTTCACTGAACAGTCGCTAGATAGCGGCACGAGGCCAGAACGTCTCGGGACGATATGTATTCTTGTAAGTACAAAAACGCCACTCCAGAAAAATGCGCTGCGATTCTACTAAATTAGGTGAGTTTTCTTACTATGTTCCAAGAAACCTAGCACTGTAAGCTAAAAAATTGCACGCATCATAAATTCGGAATAAAAGGGTGCCGGACAAAATGAAACATACATGCATGACCAGGGGCGGATCCAGGACTTCGCCAAGGGGTGGGGGGCCACGCAACATTGTGGGGCCCCCTGGAGTTTGGGACCCCCTCCAATTCTGAAAACGGGTATTCAAATCTTAAAAATCAACATTCAAATCTTTAAAAAGTAACATACTAAAACTCACCCATCATATGCTTGCAATACAAAATTTCAGGGTATCCTCAGCTCTACCTAACAACCCTTGCAGAGCACATAGTACAACTGTGAAATGCACACGATTAGGTTAGACGCGATGATTCGACGGCAAGCTTTACCATCAAGCCATTTCAACCTGTTGGAGAGATTTAGTTGCAGAAATCGGGCGATGGAAAACAATTAAAATAGTAAAAGTCGTGTTCTGAACCATGGTCCAAGGGAAATTCAAGCATTACAGGCAAAATAAGCGGCCAAACAGATGAGGAGTCCTCGAAGCACATTTTGGATCACTCGAACTTGCCCCCCAGCCAGAGGTAAACAACGTTCCATTTCATTCGAGGTGGAAGTATAATTTATCTTCGTTAAATCGCTGCCATTTTGAACCTGAACCCATTAATTTGAAGCACAAATAATCAAGCAGTGGCCCGCAAGCTGATCTGCAAGCCATCTTTCAACGCCATGGGTCATTGCTAAAGGTCATCATGCGCTGCGCAGACCGGCGAGCACTCACACCAGCTGGGTAGGTTGGGTTCACAAGCTGGGGGAATTGCGGGCGCGGGCAAACAGCACGTGTACAAGTCCTAAAAACTACAGGTGTCACCACGGGTCCTAGGGCAGCAGATGCTGATTGTATATTTGCCAGTAGTTAGGTTTTCAAAAAAGGTCAGCCAAATACAAAACTCCTGCATAGCACAAACAAAGCGATGTTTTCAGCATTCTCACAAATTAAATAGTAGCACTAGAATACCAACACCAATGTTTACGAATAGTCGACTGGGAACTGAGCGAACGTTGACACCGAACACACAACCCAGGCAAGACTTTCACTGGTGTTAAAATGCCATCGTAGCAACATATACGCTTAAGACATCACATGCAAACACGGCGAGGTATGCAATGCAAAATATAATGGCAAATATCGTGCTAAACAGAGCATTCCAGTCCAATGGCGACCACAAGCGCAACAGGAAAATACATTTACATAAGATACAACAGCTCTAAGTTGTTGTGCGAACAACTGCATTTGCATAATGATAATATACCCTGCATATACTGAAGCTGTGAAACATAGTGGACCTCAGTACACGACATGAATGCTTTACAGCGGTCCACTTAGGGAAGTCAAAGAATTACGTCGTAGATTTGGGCGTTATGTAAAAATGACATCGTCTAACAATCCCGATCCACTTACTGGTCTTGGTTCATAAGCCTGCTGGTTGCCGAACAACATTCAAAACAAGCACATGACCTAGAATAGGTAGCTCTGAAACAGTTTTTAAGCTTGTCAACTTTTCTTAAAATGGCGATACCGGTCCATGCTCCCCAAAATATCCAACGGATGCCTAAGGAGTCAGAAGACCACTCAGTGCAGCAATAAAGAAACGTTCAGTAAATAAAATGTGTCCGTTAGATCTTTTCCACTTTTAAACATCATTAACATTAATGGCGTTGCTGGTGAGAATCGCATTTCCTTTCGATACCGTATCATCCTAGTCTGCATGATTCAAATTCAAACGGCTCGCAAAACAGGGATGACATAAATCATGAAGATGAATTATTGAACAGAAGAAAAGATTTTGTCTGTCAGGCAAGCAGAGTATTCATTTTTACTTGAATCGCGTTTAGCTATCGCATCTTTTGACACGCTGATATCTGGGTTGTCTAAGCTAGAAGCTCTAAGCATATTTCACCATCTGACCATCCTGAAAAAGTCGGCACTGTGAAACGCACCACATAATCTTAAGATTGCTCTTTCAGCTGAAAACCCATAGAAATCTGGAAAAGCCTTGTAAGCATAAGTTGCAACGCTAAGACCGTTATCAAAGTATAAGTGATGCTCTTGCTCGCGTGCCCCTGTAGCCGATGAAATTAATAGGATCGCGTGCTCAGAAATGAAAACCGTAAAGCATGTGATGTTCTAAACACACTGCCCCTAATTAAGTTGTCAAGGTAGATACATGTGTGTGATGCAACTGTGGGCGTATACCGTTATCTCCTTAACACTTCGGCTTGTCTCGTAATTGAAGGTGGTCGTGCTTCTCTCTGATTGTGATTTTCCACTCTCTCGTACGCCTTTGGCAGTGCCAGACGCGTACATGTGCTAGACTGGCACATGTCCAGAAAAAATTGGTTCTCATGGTGACGGCGGCATATACAAGCAGAGGCGGATTAGGCATGGCGCATAGAAACCAACGTTGAGAGGTGGACTGCAGCGCACGCTCCAAAATGTTCTGCATTAACACCGAGCTCCTCCCACGAGAACAAATATAATATCGCGAGCGCATGCTCCATCCAGCTTGCAACTGAGCCACCAACATACACAGATGAGATCGTGGGATTTGTACGGCCCTGCGGCTCATGACGGACCTCAGTCCAGAGCTCGCGTGTTTATTGGTGTAGTTGTAGTTTATGCGCGGGCAGAGCTAGCTTAGGCCGGCCCTTGTCAGTGCTACGGCTCCGCTGAGAGTGAGCACACCCGTCGCTCTCCCGCTCGGCCCTGTCGTCCCCCACACAGCGACGATGGCCGTCCTGCTCCGGAGCGCGCCGGCGGTGCTGCTGAGTCTGACGCTGCTGCTGACCGCAGCGGCCGGCTACCCCGACGTGCAGTCCCGCCCGCTGGTCGCCACGCGAGAGGGCATCGTCAGGGGCGTGGCGCGGCGCAGCGCCGCCGGCGGCCTCTTCTTCGGCTTCAAGGGGATCCCGTACGCGCGCGCGCCGCTCGGGCCACTCCGCTTTCAGCCGCCGCAACGCCACCCGGGCTGGGCGGACGTGCTGGACGGCCTCAAGCACGGCCGCACGTGTCTGCAGTACAACGCCTTTAAGAACAACAGTCTGGAGGGCGACGAGGACTGCTTGTTCGCCAACGTGTACACGCCGCAGCTGCCGGCGCTGGAGAGAGCCGTTGGAGGTTTGCCAGTCATGGTCTTCATCCACGGCGGTGGCTTCACGATGGGCAGCGGAGACGAGGAGGTATACGGACCGAACTATTTCATGGACGAGACTGTGGTGCTGGTGACCTTCAACTACCGACTGGGACCGCTCGGCTTCTTCACGGCACACGATAAGAGCGCTCCCGGCAACTACGGTCTGCTGGACCAGGTGATGCTGCTGCAGTGGGTCCGGGACAATATCGCCAGATTCGGCGGAGACCCCGCTGCGGTGACCGTTTTCGGCGAGTCAGCGGGAGGGGCCAGTGTCTCGCTTTTGGTGCTGAGCCCCCTGGCGAAAGGCCTGTTTCACCACGCCATCAGCCAGTCAGGTACGGCATTGGCAATCTTTGCGGCAGGTGGAAAGGCGAAGGATTTCACTCAGAAGTTTGCAGAGCAGCTCAGTTGCTCTGTCGACGATGTTTCCATAATGGTGGAGTGCATAAGGAATGCCCCCTCCGAGGATCTCATGGAGGCTAAAAAGAAATTAGGCCTGCAAGAAATCCTTTTTCATCCACGGGTGGACAACGAATCGGAATCGCCGCTGCTGCCAAAGGATCCGCGTGATCTCATCAAGAATGGGGAATTCAACCTGGTTCCATGGATGAACGGCATTGCGGAAGAGGAAGGAGCACTGTTTGCTCCGTTTTTTCTCCAAAACAAATCAGTGGCGGAAGGTGTGTTTTCAGGAAATCCCATCACATGGGGCATCCTAACTGGCTTGATTAGCGAGTCCGGGGCCATTCCACTGGACTGTGGATCGGACTCAAACGTGGAGATCGCCAAAGTGATTGACTTCTACATCGGCAATGACACACTCAGCCATACCAACCCTCTGCCGTTCGTTCAAGCTGTAGGAGACCGACTGTTTGTTGCTCCCATGTCGGAGGAGGTGCGCCTCGCGTCACTCCACGCGCCGGTCTACAAATATGTGCTGGATTACAGAGGACCTGGTCGCCTCTCCGCTGCCGAGCTGCTTGGAATTGATGCACCGTACATGGGTCCCTCGCACGGTGATGACTTGGTGTACCTGTTCAGCAACGCAAAGCAGGCAGCGTACCCGGCCGACTCGCCGACCTACACCATGATCCGCTTCATGGTGAGCCTGTGGACGAGCTTCGCCCGCACCGGTCGGCCCAGCTCAACCGTCCTGCCGACGCCCGACTGGCCTGCCTTCACCGAGCAGAGCCAGCGCCACATGCGGCTCAATGCGGAACCCTCAGTCGGGGAGCGGCTGTTCGAGGAGCGCGTGCGCATCTGGCAGGGAGTCCGTATGAACGAGGCCTGGCGGCACGAGGTGCAGACCAGCTGCCTGCCGGCCGGGGCTGAGTACGGAGCACGCAGGCGGCGCTCGGCCCCTTGAGCCTTTGAGGGTTCAGTGGCTGGTGTACGACGCTGAGAGCCGAGCCGGGCTGCCGGCAGGTGTTTCAGAGCCTCTTCCAGTCGCGAGCGCTGACGTGACGGAGACCGGGAGCCCGGCACGCGCTGGTTTTGCCGCAATCTTTTAAGTGGGATGCGTGTGATTGCTTAGAAAGTACGTCTGCCACATATATGTGGAGCACACGTCGAACTGTCGATTGTGACACCACTGGAACAATGACTCGAAATAAAAGCTATGAATGGGTACGTTAGCATCTTACCTCGATTAGTTATTCTTAACGTAGATCGATCGCTGGCCCTGCCACAGCACGCTGAGGTGTGCCATCATCGGGATGTGCGACGTCCGTGACACCATGGGGTGGCTGCTACCACAGCACGCTGAGATGTGCCGTCATCGGGATGTGCGACGTCCGTGACACCATGGGGTGGCTGCTGCCACAGCACGCTGAGATGTGCCGTCATCGGGATGTGCGACGTCCGTGACACCATGGGGTGGCTGCTGCCACAGCACGCTGAGATGTGCCGTCACTGGGATGTGCGACGTCCGTGACACCATGGGATGGCTGCTGCCACAGCACGCTGAGATGTGCCGTCACTGGGATGTGCGACGTCCGTGACACCACGGGATGGCTGCTGCCACAGCACGCTGAGATGTGCCGTCACCGGGATGTGCGACGTCCGTGACACCATGGGATGGCTGCTGCCACAGCACGCTGAGATGTGCCGTCACCGGGATGTGCGACGTCCGTGACACCACGGGATGGCTGCTGCCACAGCACGCTGAGATGTGCCGTCACCGGGATGTGCGACGTCCGTGACACCATGGGATGGCTGCTGCCACAGCACGCTGAGATGTGCCGTCACCGGGATGTGCGACGTCCGTGACACCACGGGATGGCTGCTGCCACAGCACGCTGAGATGTGCCGTCACCGGGATGTGCGACGTCCGTGACACCATGGGGTGGCTGCTGCCACAGCACGCTGAGATGTGCCGTCACCGTGATGTGAGACTTACGTGGCATCATGGGATGACTGCATGTTTTTTTCGCGTGACCATTTCAGAGTTTCCAAAAGGTTCGTGGATTTATCTGGCGTGGCCCTGGAGATCCGATGAAGCAGGCTTTCTGCTGGTTTCTTGTTTTTGTCAAATTTTTGCCTCTATCAACAAAAACATTTTGGTAAGAGGATCGATTCTACCGTTGCTGACAATATTAATCTCAGAAGTACCCCGCCCGAGTGGGAGCACGGACTGAGAGAGGAGAGACAGACCTGATAACAAAGCGTTTGGTGGCGTGGCCGTACTAGTGAGAGAGTTACTGGAGGCGACTGTGGTGGACGGACCAGATCAGGTCACAGCAGGCCCCAAACTGGAGTCACTGTGGGTCCGGATCCGCGCTGTGTCTCGAAAAGTGATGGTGTGCTCACTGTACCGGCCCCCGACACAGACGCAGGCCCGAGTCACTGCGGACCTTGGTGAGCTGGAGCAGCAACACCAGAACATCCTCACCTGTCACAGTGGACCTGTCATCATATCTGCTGACGTCAACGTCAACACCTGCAGCAGCAACGAGAACACCGCGGCCAGCAGGTTCAGAGAGTTCCTCACAGCATACTCTCTGCAACAGCATATCAGCGGGCCCACGTTCCGGTCATCTAACTCCACCATCGATCGTATTTGTACAAACGGTGGTGTTGAGCGCGCCGGCACGCTGCACTGTGACTATAGTCTCCGACTGGTCACGTGCTCTGTTGCCGCTGCCGGACTACCGACCTGCGCAGTGCGCACTGACGGCCAGATGCTGGCGCGAAATGGACTTGACGGAGGCGAATCGACGTCTCCAAAATGTGGACTGGGGCCCAGTGAACGGCAGCGTCCATCCCGGAGATCAGTGAGACTAGTTCCTTGCAGTGACTCGTCCTATCGTTGATGCTTTAGCACCGACGAGACGTTTAAAAGTGCGCAATCCTACAGAACCACCTGGCACGAAAGCTACTAAAGACCTGATGGCCCGGCGGCGTGCTGCACTCCGTGATTATGACCGCGAGACGTATAAGTACCAAAACCGACAAGTCAGGTCGGCAGTGCGTCGTGACACACGGGAGGAGATTGACAGACGTGTACGAGAGGGCGGACCGAGCCCGATGTGGCGCAGTGTGCAGCTTGTCGTCTCATCTAAGCAGCCGACCAGGTCCAAACCTGATGCGGACGCGGACGACATTAACCGGTACTTCGTCAGCATTGGTACCGCGACCGCCCGCCAGGTGGACTCCTCGGGGCCGGAGCTGGCGGCACGCCTGCCGCGCGTGGCCACCGACCGGTTCCTGGTATCGCCCGTTACACTGGAGCAACTGCGACGCGTCATAGCCCGCATGCACAACAGTACATCGTACGGCGCAGACGGATTGTGTATCCGGTCTTTCAAACTGTGCATAGACGGTATCTGTCCCGTGATCGCCCATATTGTCAACTCCAGCCTGACAGCCCATGTAGTTCCCGATTCGTGGGAGCTGACAATAGTACATCCTATCCAAAAGACGCCAAAATCTACTGGTGTTTCTAATTACAGGCCCATCTCAATTTTACGGACTATCGCTCTGGTCACCGAACGTGTAGTTTACGAGCAGCTGTTTGCATATTTTACCTCTCATCACCTGTTCTCGTATAGTCAACATGGTTTTAGATCATATCACTCTACTGACACGGAGCTTCTCACGGTAACCGCAAAGTTTTTGAGGCCATGGATAAGAGGGAAATCACCTTGTTATGCCTACTGGACTCATCCAAATGCTTTGATGCTATCCCACATGATGGACTCCTTAGAAAGCTCCAGCCGTACAATGTTGATGTACGTTGGTTCGCGAACTACCTCCAAAACCACTTTCAGCAGGTTCTCGTCCAGAACCCAGGTGGCGCTTCCTCTCTGTCCGTGGCTTTGCACAACCCGATCGGAACCTACCAGGGCTCAGCGCTCGGCCTGCTGCTGTACAGCATTTATGCCAATCATGTGCCGCTGTATGCTCATGACGCATGTATTGTGCAGTACGCAGACGACACGCAGGTTTTAGTGAGTGGGAGGCCCGGTGACATTGGTACGCCGATCACATCCATGGAGCAACATCTTTCACACCTGTCCAAATGGTGTGGCAAAAACGGAATGCAAATTAACGCAAAAAACACAGCTCATAGTCCTCGGCACGCGTCAAAATATTCGGAACCTGCTGCCGGCTAGCATCAAATTTATGGGCGCTACTGTAGACAGCCCTACTTCCGTCCGAAACCTGGGTGTTGTCTTTGACCAGTGCATGACGTTCACTGCGCACACTGATGACGTCGTGCGGCGATGCACTGGGGTTCTTATCGGCCTCAGCCACAGCCGGCACAGTCTGCCTCAGGCCACATTCATTACTCTGGCCCAGGGTCTAGTCATCTCACCCACCCGTTACTGCATCTGTGTGTACGAAACATGTAATAGTACTCAAACATCACGACTGCAGAAGCTGCTGAACTTCGCCGCACTAGTCATCTCTGGGCGTCGGAAATATGATCATGTGAGCGAAGTTTTACGAGACCTCGAGTGGAGGTCTGCTGACAACATGTTCTTGTATCACACACTGACTTTTCGAAAACGTATCCTGCAAAGATCCCAGCCGGAGTCGCTATCTGATCACCTTATCCATAGACGCCATGTTCACCATCGTACAGCGAGGCAGGATGATGTGTTACATGTGCCGGTGATCAGATCCGAATCGGGAAGGCGGCATTTTGTTTACTCCACCGTGACCGCCTACAATGCACTACCGCAGAAAATTCGCGACCTGAGCCTTCCACAATTCAAACGCGAGTCGCTTAGTTATATCATGCAGCAGCGGATCAATAACGGATAGCGACGCCTACTTCAAATGACTTTAGCGAATGTGAGAGAGTGCGTTCTGCGTATGTATGCCTGTGTGTGTACGTGTTTGCGCGAGCCTCCCTGACCTACAGTGTTTTATTTCTATGGCACGGGCTCTGTAATATCCACATTCTGAGTGGAGTGAGCTTATGACGTGTAATAAATAAATAAATAGACTGTACTTTTGGCTGTCAGCTGTTTTTGGTAACGAATCAACTAAAACTTTGCCGTCACAATACAAACTGTAGCTGCCGCTTGAGCCTCCGATAGCATGCCCTGCCCATTAACCCAAATTCGACATTTCAGCCTTCCCTGCTACACCACAAAATTATATCGAAAAGCTTGCTTAGGCCCGTGGTTAGCACTCTTGCACTGTATGCACAAAACTGATAGATGAGACATTAATATTTTCCAATGCGACGGCGCTTTGAGCAGACTTGCGCGACGTATTGAAAACTAAAAGCCGCATAACGCTGTCAAAGACCCCCTTTGCACAATTTTGAGGGTGCTCTTACGCTATGCCAACTCTATGTCCGAAAAATGCGTCTTAAGTCCCTCAGTGTACTTCTAATGGACATCATTTGCCTTCCATTTTTCCGGCGGATGGATTCTTAAAATCTTGTTTCTAAAATGTTTGGTTCCTGAGTGCCGACAGGTTTCAGGAACACTGCACGGCGATCCACATGTGGCGGGAGGACGGAAGGCAAACGACGAATCCACCGAACGCTCGCAGCGGGCCGACACTGTTACATTAACGGAGGCCTACATCACACATATATGCTCAGAACACACAAACTACATAACCATGCGCTTATAATTAAAGAAGCAACACATGTGTGTGTGTGTGTGTGTGTGTGTGTGTGTGTGTGTGTGTGTGTGTGTGTGTGTGTGTGTGTGTGTGTGTGTGTGTGTGTGTGTGTGTGTGTGTGTGTATGTGTGTGTGTGTGTGTATGTGTGTGTGTATGTGCATGTGTGTGTTTCATGATAGGCACGTGACATGGGTCATAAATATTGCCATGCAAAACGGAAAATAGAGGGATATTTAGGAATAAGGGCTCTTTCCCTGGAACATCGTGGTGAATTAACATATACATGGCAACGTATATGCCATCTCCAATGGCGTTTTTGTTGCGTGATCTCGTTAAGACCATACTACTGGCTTTTTCGCGAAGAGCTAGAAACAGCCTGGAGTACAGATTGTTTGTAAGGCAGTTAGTAAAACTCAGGTCATAAAACATAGTTTGAAAACTTTGCTTTGAAATAACAAGGGAATGGTCGCGTAAGTCCCCCCACCCCCATACTTTCGGTCGGCGTTATGAAATAGGGCGAGTCAGTTTGTTGAGGAGTAAAGTACTTCCGCAATGGAACGATTTTTTTTCGTCTATTCTTACTGCTCAAACTTATGGCTTCTGAT